CTCGTATATGCAGCAGGGCCACGGGCTGGAAGGGCCCGTTGGAGTTGGCCGCGTCCACCACCATCCTGCTGCCGGCCTTGTTACATGTCAACATCTAGACTCCGGCGGCCGGGCGGTGTACTCCTCAACGCAAGGAAGCAGCCTCCATTTTAGTTTAAAAAAAAGGCGAGCCGGAGCTCTCCGCAGCTGGAGGGAACTGGCCGCCGGGATGTCAGCGGCTCCGGTATTAAAAGTTTGATTCAAATCTTGACCTCTCTGTTTCTTCCTAGCTGCTTAGAATAGGAGTTGGAGAACATAGTTATTAAAGGCAGATTCTAAAATATTTTTCTCCTTCTTCCTTCCTAGAACATGGGTGTAGGGTATGATTTTGACTACATTTTCAACCATACTCCCATTTGTACCCATGCTTCATCAATCATAATTTATATGACCTTTCAGAGAGGATTTTCTGTTTTCAGAACTGTATAAATCTAGTGGACCTCATATTTCAAAGGCCATATGGCAAGTACAGCCTCTCTCCCCTCATAGATGGAAAGAAGAGCTAAAAACTATTTTCACATTGTTGTATTCTGGTGAATGGGTGGTCCATGTGGCATCTCAAAATGCAAAACAGAGCTAGTAGTGAGTTCATAATCTGAAAGCCTTTGTGAGAAGTGTCCATTAAGGACCAGGTTTTGCTCTTTGAAGAAAGTTGAAGATTCAGCAAAGTTACAAGAAATTACTATGGGGGAGGGGGATGCTCAAACACCTCAGAAGTCCCAGTTCACAGATCAATACCTAGATCATCTGAAGCCTCTTTATTTAGCTAAAGAAGAAAGGCTCAGAAAGCAGCATAGAAAAGTTCACCAGATTTTGTCAGAAGATTAGGTTGACCGGCCTTTACCAGAACAATAAAGCATTGACCAGGTTTTCTGTGAAGAGTAACCTGGCCTTGGCCATCTCATGTCAGAAGAAGAATGGAACAAAACAATAAACTTCTTTGAAAGAGACTTCACTTGAAAGAAAAAGAAAACATCTAACCAGAAAGCACAAGAAGGATATGTACAGATATAAGTCATGCATGCTACTGACAGAGATTTGAGAAAACCAGAGCAAAAAGAAGCTCAAAGACTCTATACAAAGAAGAACATGGAAATGGTAAAAATATTGAGCAGAAAGACTAAAAAGGATTAGCCAAATCTGAACTTACAAATGGAATATCATCTTAAAAAATACAAGAAATTTCCTTAGCCAAGGTTAAAATATCTGCGGTCTTTCTTTTGTTGGTTTGTGTACATATAATGTTAACCAAACATGTGTAAACTGGATTGCTTTGCTATGTTCTTCTTATTATGTTCTGTCAAGTAGCCTGCAGCTTATTGCAGCCCTATGTACAATAGCCCTGAAGCCTGCCCTGTCCTGAGCCAGTCTCACTGACTACTACACACCTTGACTCTGACACACCCCAGTTACTGCTGTATCAATCCATCTTATCAGGAGTCTTCCTCCTGTACTATCCCTCCACCCTTCTGAGCATGATGTCCTTCTCCAAGGACCTGTCCTCCCGGCCACATGCCCAAAGTATGTGAGACGGAGCTTCAAAATTTTAACCTTCAAGGTTTCACCCACTCTAAAACAAACCTATTTGTTTTCTTGGTAGTCCATGCTATGTTCAAGACTGTTCTCCAGCACCACAACTCAAAGGCATCTATTCTTCTTCTGTTATTGTCTAGCTCTCTGATGCACAGCAAGTAACAGTGAAGACCATGGCCTGGATTAGGCACACCTTAATCTCTAGACTGACATCATTGCTTTTCAGTGCTCTGGAGAGGTCCCTGACAGCAGATTTTCCCAAAGCAATTTGTCTTTCGATTTCCTGGCTGCTGGTGCAAAGAGAGTTGATTGTGGATCCAAGCAAGCTGAAATTGTTAACAACCTCAAACTATTTCAAATATTTTTTATTTTGTTGCAAGAAAATATTCTACCTTCTAGGATTTGTATCTTGGGGAATTTTTGCATCTGAAGAACTGAAAGAACCTTTCTTTTTTTGTTTTTTAAAATTTAATTTATGTTTAGTGTTTTTAAAAATTCCTTGATTGTCACACATATTTTTGTACCTTAGGAAGTAAGGAGCAAAGCTTCCATGAAGTACTTTAATCAAATATTCCAATTTAGTATCAGCTATTATAGTTTTTAAATTCATGTTCATGAAGGAAATACTTCCATTGGATTTTTATTTACTTATCTCAAATTAAGTGTATTTTCTAGAGAAATGGGCTTTCAAGAAACATGAAAGCAAAGATTTTATTAAAGACACGTGAGTACTGAAACTAACTTCTGTCCACATCATGCAAGGACATGGTCTTCATAAGTGGAGTTTGGTAAGTACTCAGTCTGATATTTATAAGCATTCCCTCAAGTGCAATTGCTTATATTGCTTGCTAATGTAAGATTTTTCAATAGAAATCCAGCAATGTCAAAGCAAAAGTTGAGAGCATCCTAGATTCCCTGGGACCTTATACTTTAAGAATATTGTAGATTGAGAAATACTTGACTGATCCAAGATGGCGGCAGAGGCAGAGACAGCGTGGTGAGCTGCGGGAGCAGCAAACCACTTAAAGCAGGGCCATTATGGCCTTCCACAGACTTCGGCTTATTGATAATTGAACACTTAAACAGTTGATGACTGGCCCTCAGTGAAGATCGAGGCTCAACAACAGGAATTCAAGGATTCCCAAGGAGAAATGGGTGAGTCTCGTGGCTCCCAATCCTCACCCCCCTCCCCCGCAGAGCCCGCACCGCGCCACCCAACCGCTGCAGCTCCATGAGGCTTCCACAGCCAGAACCAATGGATTCCCTCACGCAGAATGGATGCTGGGCACCGGCCCTCCTCAAGACTGGTACAGCGAAGCCACCACACTGCCACAAGGTGAATTTGTTCTGGAGAGAATTCTTGGAGCCAGGATGGCAGCTGTGGGGGAAGCGGGCGGCCGCCAGCTGCCCGCACAAGAGGGGCCACGTGCACACCGAGCGCCCGTGCGGCAGGTTGGGGTGATGCGCCCCCAGTGGCCGCCCGAGCTGGGTGGGGGGTGCGCGCCTCCTACCAGCCTCCCGCGCTGGGGGGGGCCCGCACGCCCCGCTGGCCGCCTGCGTAGGAGGTGGGGGATGGGATGCATGCCCACCATCT